ATTGATAACTGAAAAGGTCCTGGGGTCCCCCTCGTCGCCAACTTGCATGGCCCAGAGACCTCGATGGCCAACATGGTGGGGGGAGGCTTCACATCCAGCAGTGGATTGCTTGCCGTACGTCCGTATGATCATTATTAATAATAATCATACGTCGTTCTGTTATGAGACGTGTGTGGTGGCGCACGTCCTGTGATCCAGCGCGTTGGAGAAAAGGGTTGAGGATCACACATAGATTTGTGAAACTCCCAAATCCGCTGGGCGATGAGTTGCTGAAAGAATGGCAGTACAAAAAATGGATTCCTGAATCCATCTGTACAAACCTTAAAAGTGTTTTCAGGTTGTGTGTATGATGGGTTATCGCTATCGCAAATGATAGGTCAACAAAGTGGATTATCACGTGGAAATGTTTAGCAGCGAAATACTCTAAACGCACGTTGATTCTAAATTTGGAGGGAAACATCGGAGGGCCCGGAAAATAATCCACGCCACCACAGGGAGAACGTGCAAACTCCAAATATACAGCAATCGAACCCACGACCTCCTGCATACCAGGCGAGGTAGTTTATATCTCGCCATGGTGGCTGACCATGCAGGTTTAACACTGGACTGAAAAAAACACTTTGTGCAAGCTTATGTTCCAGCAGAGCACATGGCGTGTCCAGAATTAATCGACTGCTATTGCACCTTTTGTATGCCAATAAACAAAACACAACACGTGGAATTCTGTCTCCATCCCTAGCCTCTGGGCCACTGTTCTTCGCCTACCAATGTTCTGCTTCTTACATTGAAATCCATGTTGGCCTAAACGTCATAATGCAGAAATCTCCTGACAAATCATCTTCGGACTTTGCTGAATAAATAGGTCACGCGTATTAAGACGATTGTGGAACGTTGCTCATATCAATTGGTGGTCCTGAGCCAGCAGTGGAAAGTCCACATTCTTATGACAGAGACTAGACATGACATGACAATCACGATTTGTTCTCCACAAAGTGGGGCTCCTTAGCAATTATCGACGCTGAGCAATGATGGTGTTAACAGGTATATGCATTGTTAGTAAGGACAACTTTTAATTGGACGCAAGCTTATCTTTAATTACATTAATACTTTGTTTTGCCCGTAGGTTTCCGCAGCCAATGTTATGATTACAGATAGTAGATGTTTGGGGTTAGGCGACATCACCGTCTGACAAAATATGTGTAATCAGAAACCCTCCATCACCGGGCACAGCCAAAACAAATCGGTTCAGGCACGCCAATTACGATCATTGGAACCGACCGGTAAAAGTTGTCACGGTTTGTATCCCTTTTCAACTCGGACACTTTTGCACCACCTCTTTGTTCACAGCTTTGCCGTTTTATATTTAACTTGGCTCGTGTCACGGACATCACGTCTTCGAGAAGCCGGTACCTATTTTAAACTTGGTTGGTTACATCTCCACACCGGACGTCTTTTGTTCGGATATCGCGAGAGATCGATCTACCCTCAATTTGCCCGTCTTAAAAAAAATAGACCCTTTCGATCTGAGGCGTGCCAGTAAATATGTCAAATTGCAAAAAGTAAATGTCAAATTATGGAGATTATTCTTTCAACCGTGATGCCCGCCCGCACTTTGAAAAAAATATCGCATCGGCCTTACAAGCCATTCCCTCACTGGCTACTGAATCCACTAGAAACAGACAATACGAACGCACATGTTTTAAAATATACATTTAATTTGCTCATAAATCTTCCCGGATTTTAAACCGCTGCCTCTTTCATATTTAAAGGCTAATTCATCATTACCATATTTTATTTGTGAAAGTATGTTAAGTTTTTCTTTGTCCACTCATGCTTACAATACTGCAAGCCTCCCATTATCGTTATTCGGATGGCGTTTGCGTGGGTTGGCATGGCCCTTGGTGCAAGCAGTCAAATGCCCCCTCCCCCTTGCCCCCCCCTCCCTCCACATTCCGTGGTGCCCCAGTGCAGTTGCACCGCCTGCACACTCGTCAGCAACGCCGCCGTGCCCACCGGCGCACGTGCGTCTGGCCGCTGCATCGAAGAGTTCATCCAAACCGCTCTGACCCCAGTGGCTGATGGCCCTTGGGGAGCGTTAATAAGGGGACATTCTGGCTATGAACGCCAGGGAATTGGCAAGGGGATGTTTTTGGTTCTTGTTGTTGTTGTTGGCGGTGTTGTTGCCGCTGCTGTTAATGGTGCCGTTTGTTATTGGGGCGACCCGAGTTCGATTCCCGTTCACGGGAATCTGAACCGGTCCTGTGACTCCCCTAGGTCGACTCAGCCTCAAATGGGTATCCGGTGCAGCGTGTAAACATCGCCACTGGGGATACAAAGACGGACGGGCGTGGTGCTGGCCACACACCCTCTCGTGTGCCGTGCAGGCCTTCAGAGGTGCTCGCTAACAGCACTTGCCCCAACAGTCTGTTAAGGCTACACGGGGGATCTTTGTCTTTGTTATTGTGGGGAGTGCGTTCACGGGACTCCCCAAAGCCGCGAAAATCGGCGCTCCCACCCCCAAGGGCAGATCTCGGCTGAGGTTTTTGGTAAAATGGGAAAAAAGTTGCCCCCTATTTTACGTTTAACGTGTTTTTTAAGCGTATTTCTTTGTTTGCTAAACAGAGGCATAATTACTTGGGTTGTTCGTGCGTCTGCCCAACGAATACATTCTCAGAAATGTTGACAAATTAATTCTAATTCCCTCTGTACGCACACGGGAATTGAAATGATGACATCTCCGTTATTTTATTTGTATTGTTTTAGTGCTCATATTTTTTTTTTCCTCGAATTCGGCACTTAACCTGCCACACCTTTGGCGAGCCCTAGTTCGCCTTCATGGACGGGTGGCCGCTCGTTCGTGTCTGTGGGGGTTTTTTCCGTAAAATATAAATAACAAATATAAATAAGGGAGACGAGACGTCTCCATCACGCGCGCGTCTCTCCACGTGTTTATTGCACGATCCGTCAGCCGCCATTGGCTACTTGGGAGCGCTTAATTTCAGCAGCATTGATTCAAGACGAGAGGAAACGTGTCTCGTCAGCTTTGCGAAGAGCAGCTGTGTTTGGTTGTGGTACTGGAGCGCTGCACGAGTGTGTCATGATGTAACACGACTGGGTGTTTGTATAAGTCCCCACGGGCACGCACGTATTAAGAATAAAACATTTATACAGCAATACAATTGATAAGCGAACCACGTCTTCCTCATACATATATAACGACTCCGATAACAAAGTAATAAGAGGAGCCTGTTTTGTTTAAAGACTTCCACAATCAGGGACCTACTAAAGACTTCCTCCGTCCGTCCCCACTCCGCGTGTTCTTCCCTTTTCATCCCTCGGCCCCCCTCTCGAACCTTCTTGTCCTTGTTTGTACCTTTAGCCAATCCCTGTCCGTTCCCTTTAACGGATCCTGTTTTCTCGTTCAAACACCTTATTATTCTTGGTTCTTTCGGTAAAGTCACGTAGAAGGGAAATAAAATAATACTACAAATTAAACAATAAAAGTGTCTATTACAATATATTGTTTTTTCATTTTTTATAGTTATTTTTTCCCTTCTACGTGACTTCACCGAAAAAAAACAATAATATGAATCCCTGCAGTCACGAAAGCTTTAAATCGAAATTTAACCACCTTATTCTCCAATCCCTTTAAAAGTCTGCCTCCCGACCAATCACCGTGGAGGCCCCTTTCTTCCAATCGGAGACTTTCGTTTATTTTTAAATTGCCGTTTGGCTGCATATGGCTTGTGGTAATTTTTCGGTCATTACACGTACAAACATTTTTTAGATGGTCCTTGCCTATGACATCTGGCGGTTTATCACTATTGTCACAAGCAAGCATGATGAAGCACTGTGAGTCGAACCCGACCCAGAGTGTTGTTGGTACCGGGTCAAAGCTGCTGGGATTGTGAACTCCCCGAATGAACGTGGAGCCGAAGGGGCTGTGTAAAATATTATTTTGTTATGTGGAGACACAGATAAAATATTCGTATGACGGAGACAGTCTGCTCATTGTTTTGTTATATTCACAACGACCCTAATGGTAATTGTGAATGATATATTGTAATAGAGACACTTTGGATTTTTTTTTATATTGATGGATCTGTTTGGTTTGTTAACATATATTCTCAGAATGTTCTGCCAATTCCTTGTTGGACATCACTACAAGTTTATCACTGGTAGGAACCTCCTGGTTACACGAGCCCACAGGGGATTATTGTGTCGGTTGTGCAGGGAGGGGCTGGGTGGGGAGGGGCTGGGTAGGGGGTGGGAGGGGTGGGGCTGGGTGGGGAGAGGTTGGTCACCCCGTGGTGCCCTTATAAAACTCAACGTTTAACCTACTCACGCCGGTTTGTGCCCGCCCTCACAGTCGGGCATATTTGCGGAATACACCACGCCGCCGTTGACCCTGACCATTGACGGAGCAACCCAACGTTCCTACCAGCTCCCTCCGCAGGAATGTGTTTATAAGGAAACGGGAGTGCATGGATAACACATAATACTGTGTTCCCCACACTTATCCACGATACTGCTCTGCCAACCCCGACCACTTTCACTCTTTGCCCTTATCGTAAGTCCAGCATGAGGCCAGAACATTTAAGACTAGAAGCAAAATCCCACAACTTCACAGTCGCTTCGGGGAGACAATGGATTGGCCAGTAGCGTAGTAGTGACTATCAGCTTGGGGGGTGCGGCGATTGGTCAGGTGGGGCCCCAATATTGAATGTCTCGCACGGTCGCACCCAGGCTATGAAATATCGGCGGCTCTTCCTGTCTAATCACACCATTACATACGTTTTTGTTTTTTTACACTGTTGTTGAAAATACATCTAATGGTGGTTGTCAAGGAGGCCCCAACTCGTAGATTTAGCCCCTGCCCCTACGCTCGTTACGATCCTGTCAATGTCAGATTCGTGAAGCCAGGATGTTTTTGGTAACGTTGTTTGGTTTCTTCTTCCTCCTCCTCCATGGCTCACTCCTGCCTCGCCTCCGCTGCACAGATGGTGGAGGAGTTCCACACCCACGTCGCCACGTTCCGCGAGCTCGTCATCTCCATCGGGGACGCGAGCAGCGACAGCCTCGCCGGACGCCTCCAACTGCGCCGCTCGCGGGGCCAGTGCTCGTCCATGGCAACCGACACGTGCACCAGCATGGCGGCCCTCAACAGGTAGCCGTGTTGGTGGTGCACCTTTATACATACCTGTCAACTCCTTATCAGTGCCTACCTTATTACGGACCAATTCAGACCTTATTGGTCACCCTGTGCCCTTATAAATTTCAACGTTCATCCTACAAAGTCCCATCGTAAAGGAGAAACACAAATAGACGAAACTTTTTTTTGCCCATTTCTAAACGGCTGTTTGCCGTATTGACCTGAAAACTCAATTTCCCTGTACAAGAATACGGGTAAACCGTGTGGGTTGACAGGTATGGCGTGTGTATGGTCACCCCTCACTGGCGTGGCCACCCTCAACAGCTGTCCGTGTTGCATTAGTACACCAGTATGGCTGAACTCAACAGTTAGCCCTGTTGCGTTTGCACACCAGTATGCTCAACCTCAACAGGTAGTCGTGGTGTGTTGCTGCACCTGTATGGTCACCCCACAATGACGTGTCCACCAGTGGCGGCTGGTGATATTTATTTTTGGGGGGGCGCATTTTTTTTATTTTATTGAGGGGGGCAAATAAATATAAAGCAGTACCAAAAACCATTTTGACTACTTGAATATAAATTTTGATGATCTTTATTTACATTTCAGACCAAAAGAAGTACCAAAAAGCATGTTTCCTACTTGAACATAAATGTTTCTCTTTTATATACATTTCAGACCAAAGTACCAAAAAGCATGTTTCCTACTTGAACATAAATGTTTCTCTTTTATATACATTTCAGACCAAAGTACCAAAAAGCATGTTTCCTACTTGAACATAAAAACGTTAGTTTCATGCTATTATCAATATGGCTGCGGCTACTTTCATGACGTTTGCATTTGTCAGAGAGATGTTTGAGGTCTCTTACCCCCGTCGTTGTCCACAAAACTTCAGTGCCGACACTTTGAAATAAAAGACAGGGAAAACAAAAAAGAGAATTGCTAACATCACATCCAGCCAGCCACCTGCGTTTCTCATAACAAGCGCGGGTGAAGCTTCGTGTGTAGCTTCGTCGTCTGTCACTGGCCTGCTGCTGGATTTGTAAATCGGGTTGGTCCGGTCCGAGATCCTTTATCTTTTTTATTTCTTCCAGCGAAAGCCTTGTGAAAGGGTTTTTTTGTAAATAAATTACAGAATTTGGATGAACTGCTGCCATTGTTTACACAAAAAATTTGATCAGCCTAGCAAGTGTCAAAGTGGTGTCGCCTGCGCACTCGCAGTAGTGGCCCAGAGCGTAAATTTGAATGACAGGTGACGAGAACCAATCAGATTGGATAAAATAACATGTATCCAATTCTGATTGGCTAGGGACGCAACGACTTGCGCCCCGAGGAGAATCTTTAAGAAACCAATTAGAGACCAGCTTCAGGTCACATGCTGTCCGAAAATTTAAAGTCTCACATAGACATCCATTTGTCCGGCGCCCCGCATGAAACACATTGAAAAACATAAAAAATAGTTGACCGATTAAAGACAGTTTTTATTAAATGCTGATGCTTTTCTTACTACCAGCCGGCACATCGTATGAAAAAAATATTTTATTTATGTATTTTTATATAAAATTTGTATATGTATATTTCTTGAATATTGATGGGGGCGGCGCCCCTGCGCCCTCTATTGACGAGCCGCCACTGGTGTCCACCCTCATCACCTATTTGTTTTGTGTTAGTAAAACAGTATGGCCGCCCCTCACCAGCATGGCCGCCCCTCACCAGCATGACCACCCTCAAGAGGTACCCACGTTGGTCAGGGGCCAAGCTCAACAATCAAAATCTATGACACCTCTGGGATTCAAATTCCTGTAAATCCCTTTTTGCCAGTGGTAATGCGCAATCACAACATTAATGCCGTGGGGAGTGGTGGTCCTATTGATAATGGTGATGGTTGTAAATGGTGGCGTAAGTGTAGTGGTAAGTGCGTTGAGGGTAGTCGTGTTGATAGTTATGGTGTTGGTGATGTTGGTGGGAGTGATTTAGTTGGTGGAAATAATGGCCATTTTGATAGTGGTAGTGTAGTTGTGGTGGTTGTTGGGGTATTTTAAGGGTGCACTCTGCACCGATGTGACATGCTAGATATGCTCCTAAGCGTGATCGCTAGGCCCGTGTGTTCAGTCAAACATTGAGCCAGCACTGCCGAAGTTTAACCAACCTGGGTCCATTGTTGTCTCCTGTTTGGCCGTTCCCCTTTGCCCCACCCCAGGCCCGAGGAAGGAGAGATCCAGTACGACATTTACAGGCTCTACATCCAGTTTCACGGCTGCCTGGAAATGTACATCTCAGAGATGCTCAAGTCCATCTGCCTCATGGAGTCCTTCCAGCTGCAAGGGAAAGGTACTTCATTAGACTGATCAGGCTGAAAACTATCATCAACCATGATCAATACACTCCTGGATAAACTATTACTATTTTCTATTTTACCAGGTAAGGCCCACCAAGCTGTATAGCTCTTTTTCAGTTGCGACCTGGCCACAAATGATAGCTCAACGAAGTGGCTTATGTGGAAATGTATTTTAGCCAAATACTCTAAAACGCATGTTGATTCTAAATGTAGATGTAAAAAAAACGGAGGACACCCGACCACGGGGAGAACATGTAAACCCGAAATATCCAGGTGCCAGGGGTCGTGATCGAAACTCCGACCTCCTGCATACCAGGCAAAGGTAGTTAACATTTCACCACCATCATGGGACCTCCTTTGCCAGTACCGAAATAAAATAATGTTTTCCCCCTTTGAAACCTTTTACAAGGAAGCATGTCTGCATTAACCACAATGCTTGTGGTCAGAATGCAAACAAAAAACAAACTCTGATAATATATGCATTGTCCTTGAAACCGATTGGTCCACACTAGAGACACCTTTCTTTTGAGCCTCGTCTCAGTGTTAGACCAGAGGATGCCAAAAGGCGTACAGCAAAAAGACAATGCACTATCAGAGTAATGAGAGCTCAGGGTGAGCAGCTACGTTTTGTGGCGATGGTGGTGGTTGGCGTGGGGAGGGGTAGTGCAGTGGTTAGCGCGCCGCGCTACGAAGCCGGCGACCTGAGTTTGATTCCTGCTCACAGCCAACACCGGTGACGAATATCTGAACCGGTCCTGGGCCTCCCCGTTCGATTCAGACTCAAATGAGTACCTGGTGCGGTGTCTAGTAAACATCGTCACTAGGGACACAAAAGGCGACCGGGCGTGGTGGTGGCCACCAACTCCCTAGTGCGCCATGCCGACCTTCATAGGGCACTACTCGCTAACAGCACTCACCCCAACAGCTTGTTGAGGCTACACGGGGGAATCTTTGTTTGGTGGTCGGCGTTGCAGGCCGGGAGGCTCGGGGCACGCCGGTGAGTGGCCAGCGCGGGGCCCAGGACGCGTCACACACGCCCATCCTCGATGAGAATGCCGCGTCGCAGACGCCCAACCTCGCCGAGATCGGCTGGACCACGCCGATGGAGATCCACAACACCCAGAGGTGTGGTTGCGGGCACAGCAGCAGCAGTTAGGAGCAGTAAAAAAATCAACTAGATGCACTTTGAGAACACGTCAATTGGAGAAGACTCCAGGGGTTATGCAAGTTGTTATGCATTTAACACAAGTCAGATGGACACTATGTTGGGCCCTGTGCAGATGGGCGTAAAAAGGAAACACACAGGGTGACACTGATATAGATGGAGACAGAGACACAAAGCCCTTATTCTAAGCAGACACAAATTGGAACGCTTTGAGAAAAAGTTATACATGGAAGTTTACAATGCATAAGCTCGCATGTAAAACGTGCATACATACAATGTTCCTCTTCAAAGTTAGACTGTTGGCCATGGGCTCTACCTGGTTTATCAACAAAGGATCTGTCTTTCTGAATTGCAAACAATTATCAAATCTTTTAAAAAATGTCTTGACGCTTGTTTGGCACAATTGTTTCTGCACATACTGTACATTGCACACACTAGAATACTTTCAATGTGACATTACAGTACTCAGTTTTGTGTCTAAAACTGAATGTATTTATTTTTACAGGGATCTGAGAGAGATGAAAGCTCTGCTCAGTAAACTCAGGGAGTCAATGCCACTTCCACTTAAAAACCAAGGTACTCAAAGATCTTACATTTTACCTTGTTTTGGCAAATATTGGCAAACTAAAACCTTTTTAATTTCCTCTCCCTTACATGAGGTTAAGGCAAGGCAGATCAATGGAATAAGATCAGTGCGGTATCGAGAATTTACATAATCCCATTTTCTGATATTCATAAGTGCGTTTAATTACTAAAGCAACGAACTTAAATCACTACCTACTTAGAGGAATGTGTAGACGGTCAGTGGTGGCTACGCACGTGGCAGCTGTAATCCAGCACTGTGGAGACGATGGTTGGTAGATCACAAATGTTTTGAAACTCCCTTTCCCGTGGGCGTCGAGGACCCATACCATGGCTCAGAACAGCAAATGTGGACTCCACCTGTTACATCTATTATAGAAGTGTTTCTCCTTTGCATGCGGTGGTTTTCTCTAGACGCTCCGGTTTCCTCCCACATCTCTAAGCACTTATTAATTGGCTGAAAAGAACTTAATATATGGAGGACTGCAGAGCGTTGGCAATTGTTAGCACCAGTTCACTGAGTGACTGCCTTTCCCACTTGTCTGCAACTCCTCGTGCCTCCGAGTTTTTCTCTCATCAAAAGTGCATGAATTCTACGTGGCAAAGTTACAAGTTTAAATTATATTGTTTAAATGAAACGTAAAAAAAGACATCGTATACTCTCTTCTGGGTTACGAATAGCTATTTCATGGGTTCCAAAATACAAGCAGCACTGGTGGTTTAGGAAGCATTAAGTTTTATTTTAACAGTAAAATGTAGCTACTCAGAAACGAGGTGTAATGCTGAGCCATGTACATTTTGATAAATAATTCCTCTGCAGAAGGAATCCACCATATAATAAATTAGCAACTGCTTTAGTAAAAACAAAACCACCAGATTGTAATTCATTACTCAATTACCTCTACAGGGTGATCATTAAGGATGAATCTGAATATTGCATTTTTGACAGGCTAAAAGTCAAGGTCACGAGAGTACAGCCATAATGTTTTACAAACGGTCAAATTATATTAAAGCACCATTACCATATTGTTATTGAATAACAGTTGTTTTCCTCCTCTGTTCTAGATGACAGTGCCCTACTCAGCCTAATACCATCTTACCCACCACTGAGGCGGAGGAAGAGAAAACTGCTAAGGCTGTGCTGTCTGCTCGCCAGTTAGGCTGGGCGGCACACGTCAGGCCTACGCTGTACAGGTCACAGGTCAAAAAAACGCTTTACAAATAATAAATACAAAACATATGTAAGCTATCATCATCAGGCAATGTATACAAAAACAATTCCAAATGACGAACATTGAACACGAATGGAATTACCGTATCGTTCAAGAGAATATGCATTTCACTCGCACACGCGTTTAGCCGAATACATCAAACCTTTGGCCGTTGACGAAAGTTGGGAGTGTAATTTGATCCCCCACCGACTAAATGATTAAGTTTCTATCAAAACAGTACCTGTGGATCCATCGGAAAGGAACTTGGAAATCTGGCGTTTTAAAATCGTGGAAAAGTTCAACTTTAAAAGGAAACGTGTTGCGTATGTGTGGATCCAGTTGGTGCCTTTTTGGTAGAGGGTGTGTCGTCGCATCAAGGGTAAAGGTTCGGGGGTCTTGTGCTCATTCACTGGGTTCACAGCACTTGGGTCAACGTGCGTCTACACAGCTCGAACCTTGAAGGCCACTTTTCGGACACGGTTGTAAGTGTTCATATCAGAAAAGAAAACCTAAAACACACACACACATGTAACAATATTATCAAAAATTACAGTAATCAACATTTTTACTGGCTTCGAGCATGTTTCAAGTTGGGCCAAAATGTGAATGCCAATCATCTACACTCTCCCACTGCATGTTTGTGTAAGCATCTAACGAGATTTAATGTACTTGCAATATGCAATATTCAATGTACAGTCCGTGGATATTTTTTATTTGTTTGTTTCTCGACTATAAATGTTACTCCGTCCTGTTCTCTTCACCCAGACAGGGCATGGGTGTGTTGGCTAACGGATGGCAAGAGGGGCTGTCCTGGCAACTCGTTTGTGTTGTTGAAACAAGCCTAACATAGACTGAGCATATGTGCAATCATACGACAAGCCTATTTATTTTTTAAACTATATTAAACACATGATACAGGTTTTCCTCTCTTACCATTAAACATTAAAGTACTTCAACCTTTTTTAAAAACTACTTATTTGGGCCTTTGTACTGTTTTAGTATGCCAATGGATATTCAGTTTCACATTTGGGAATGTACCATACCTACAATAGTTTACCAATAATTGAGCAATGTCCAGGAATTTACCAGAATCGCAGTCTTTTTACGAATGTTTGCTGCTTCCTTCTTCCTTTCTTTACATACATATTTATATCACTTATTTTCGTCTTCCAAGGTCTACCTTAAATAAATGTCATGCTTTGTTTCTAAACTAAGGTTCCAAATAACACTTTGATTTTGCTTATTTGAATACACGGCTTTCCTTCTTTACTTCCAGGAAACGTAGATGTCATTTCGCAGGCGGCAGCGATCGTGGGTTCTTACAGTCAACGGAAGTCAAAGTAACATCCCAGTCACCAGTGTCTGGGATTGACACTGTTGACCCTATTGAGATGACAGTGTTGAGATGACACCGTTTCCCAACACCTCTGATTAGCGCGGTTGGCTACGTACGGTGCGAAAGAAGTTCAACATACATGACTAAAAAATCAAGCAGCTCTTACCTTGCAGCTACGTACGTACATGCATACCTATGCTGTGTGTCCTGGGATGTGTAGTGGTTAGCACACTGCGCTACAAACCCAGCGTCGCGAGTTAGATTTACTCTCGCGACGAATACTAGTGACGATTATCTGAACCGGTCCTGGGCGTCTCGTAAGTCGTCCAAGCCTCGAAAGACGTAAGTCGTCTAAGCCTCAAGAGTACCTGGTGCGGTGTGTAAACATCAGCACTAGAAGACAAAGGTGGCTGGGCGTGGTGTTGGTCACTCACCCCCTCTTGTGCTGTGCCGGCCTTCATAGGTGCTCGCTAACAGAACTTGCTCCAGCAGTCTGTTAAGCCTCTCAAGGGACACTTTATTTTTTTAAACACATGTTTGAAGCTTCTCTTTTTTTAAAGTAAGCCCCCCAAAAGTTAGAGTAAATACAATTATAAAAGCACTCTTGTGATGTCACTGATGTAAGTTTTACACATTTCAACGACTAATATGATGATTCACCCCCGCCTCCACTGATATTTGATTCATTCTTTAATTTTCGGAGTCAACATTAAATTCTTCAAATATTTTCTCTCATTTGGATTGCCCATCTCATTTACTGTTTAGTTTGTTCCGTTTCATTTGTTCCACTCGTTTCTAAAGGTCACAGCAAATAACGTTCACCTGTCGTGGTTCCACACAAGGTCAACTGCATCAACATCCAAATGTCTTGGAGCGACATCACAGTAACGTCACAAAAGCGCCGTAATAGCAACGCTTGACCCTAACTTTAGTCATTTCTTATCATTGAAGCTGGAGATTCACATATAACAGCCTGAGGCACACAGCCTATGTACAATTAAAATGTAATAAGATATTGAATGATTACTTATTTAATCATTTGTATAATTATCCACAAATGAAGAGCCATTTGTTCGTTGGATTGCGTCTACCATGAAGACGAGCCATGTCTCGCGCCACCGGTTCCTTGGGGAGTAACGTTTGGGGGGTTGGGGGGGGCCACCGGTGATGGGGGGGGGCACCGCTAGTCCTTCGATTCTCCCTCTGGGACGGCGGCAGTGGCGGTGGCCTCGGGGCGGGCGAGCCTCGCGTGCAGAACCTCCGCGAAGCCGTCGCCGAACCAGCACGTGAGGTGCAGGCCGTCCAGGTGGAAGTAGAAGAGCTGGTCCTGGCAAGAGCGTCGCCGGTAAGCGGAGCGCGGGTCCGCCGACAGCACCGCCGTCGCCGCGCGCCGCACCTCCTCCGCGGAGCCGAAGTGGCGGAGCGCAGAGCGCCCTGCCAGCAGTGGTGGACGTTCACACAAACTGCGTCACGGAGGGAAGCGTATTAAAAATGAAATGCGTACAAAGCTGCATATAAACATACGGTCGGTATGTTTATAGTTGAGAGAAAAGCAGTTTGTCATAGGCAAAGAAGAATAAAAAAAGGTCTTGACCCTGGTCTTAAACAGGGGTGGGGGGGAGCAAAGAGTTGACAGCATAGATAGCCGGGGAAGGGAATTCTAAGCCGACAGACAGTAGAGGAGAATGAGCAATATTCCATTCAGTGAAGGGTGACTGGGGGCTTCAACAGAAATCCTTACGCGTGAGAGAAGATTGAAATTGGAGGGCGGGAGGTAGGCAGGCAGCTAAGCAGGTTGCAGCCTGATTAGTACATCAATAGATCACCTGGGAACACCAGATATCATAGGCTTGGCTTGCAGAGCTTTTAATTTAAAGGGGTTTTTTTCCTGCAGCGGCCACCTCTCACCTTTGTCGGCAGCGTTGGCCAGTTGCTGCAGCTCCTGTTCGGCGTGTGGCGTGAAGCGTACCGCCAAATTTTTGACAGGCGCCTCTCTGACCCAGGATGCCACCGCACTCTGTTGCTCGGAAGCCGGCGTCGCAGGGTCCGCAGCGCTCGCACGCGAGTTCTCTCTTGCTTCGAGGGTTTCGCGAGCGAGAGGCTCTTTACTGCAACCACCCGTTTCCTCGGCAGTCACAACCGGTTCTCCTGAGCCACATGAGTGAACGTTACCATAGTTGTCACTGTCAACGCAGTCGGATACTCGAAGATGTTCACCATCAGGGCTGGCATCTCTCGCTTCCGGGTCCTCCGTTGCCGCTGTGTGACCGTCGACTGCTTTAACGGGCACATCGTACTCCGGTATATACGGTTTGATGTCCAAAACCGGCGTGCCGTCGATCATGTCAATTCCAGACAGGTAAAGAGTTCCACCTATGATAAAAGAAAACACACACTGTCAACAATCACAATCGTAAATGCAAACAACATAACCAGGCATGCATCGATTAATCAGTTCATACGCTCAAATCGTGCACGTTATAATCATTTATTATAAATTCGTATATGTTGCATGCTTTCGGATCACGTGACCCTTTGCTGCTACCAGTTGGGGCAGCATTTACCACAATGTCCAAAAAATATTGATTCTTGAATCGAATCGTGACCGCAAATCATGACAATTCACCCAAATTGCCGACAATATGCAATCTGTTAAGTAAGCTAGAATGAATGACTTCGATGAGGTACTAACCAGGTGAGCCTATTCGCATGACACACAGCTGAATACTTCTGTTGTATCTGTATCTTCTGACCGAATCGCCCAAAATGCACCCGATCTCATCATATCGGAGAAGCTAAGCAGAATTGATGTTGGACAGACAGCTTGGATGGGAAACAGCTATCCAAAGAGTATATTGTTAGCGACTCCTCAAGGGATAAATTGCAGATAACTTAGGCCCAGGAAGCGATATCCATTGTATTGAACCATGCACCCACAACTACGCTCCCTGCCATCACCAACCCGCACGAATCGGCATCGTGAAGTTTGGTCAAATAACCCTCAGCAGTGGATTGACATTATGTATATGGGACACACATATCTTCTAGCTGTGTCCGTACCTTCAATTTTCTCGAGCCTGGCCAGGGAAAGTCCGATGGGATTGGGTCGATGAGGACTCCTCGTTGAAAACACTCCGACTTTGAGCCCGTTTAGCCTGGGAGGCTTAACCTTGGCTTTAGCTGCGGAGGGGCCATTCTTGTGGAACACAAACAGGATCCTGTGTGACACAAGAGCACGGAGGATGCACTTAAGCAACCACGTAAAGGCAGGGATGAAGTATTTTATACACCACTGTTGAGCACGTGTCGCGAGGAAGGATGGTGGCAGGTGGTCGAGACTAACAAAGAAGTTGCAGCCAAGGAAATGAATCCGTGCACTCTTACCAAGCTGCACCGACTTGTGTGGGTAAGTATGGTCAAATAACCCCACTACCCGTATGGTGCAGAGAGGCTCTCATCAAGCAATGTATTGAAACATTCCTGCAAATTAAGAACAATTAAAGAGTATTTTTTCGCACTGCGCTATGAACCCGGTGTTCCGAGTTAGATTCCCAGAAATGGCAAAGATCAGTGGAGAATGATATCTGTGCCGGTCCAGGGCCTTTCCCAACTTGGCCAACCAACACCGACCAACGTGGTGAAGTATGGTCAACGGCCACTACCCGTATGGTGCGGGAAAGGCTCTCGTCCAGCAGTATACCGAAACATTCCTGCAAATTATAAACGATTACACTCGGGGGTGCACTTTCCCACGCGGGCACCAACAGTGAGGAATGTTTGTCACGTGGCAGTAAGCATTTGCATCGGGTGTCGTGGGCTGCTGTACCAGACGTGTGAGAAGTGCTGGAGGCCAGCGAGCGAGTGCTCCGCGTTGCTGAACACGGATCTGTCCAGACGGACGCGGGCCCGCGAGGCCGCGCACACGGAGGGCTGTCGAGGTGTTCCGTTCTTGGTCGGGAAACATGACTCCACGTAGCCAACTGGCCGCGTCATAAGATTTCCTACACATAATATAATCGCCCGTTTACCTCGACGGAAATCACCGTCATCATTGATATCATCAGCATCTATCCCTTCACCGCCATAATTGTGGGGGCGCCACTCTCTCTCCATTGTTGCCTTTCCCTCATAGTCTGTTAGGTGCTGTACAGGCACATCACTCGATGTTATCACATGTACCATCCAGTTGATATTTAGTCAACATCTCCTTGTTTTTTTATTCACTGTTATAACGTCATTTATTTATCCAGGAAAGCTTCACTGAGTTTCAAGACGTTTCGCATGCGAGAGATAATGTGGGACACTAGGAGAAAACTCACCACCAATAAACGAGGAGTTAAAATTTGAGAGGTACACAAAGACAAAGATCCCCCATATAGCCCGAACAGACTTTTGGGGCAAGTGCTGTTAGCGAGCAGCTACGAAGGCCAACACGGCACACGAGTGGGTGGCTGGCCAGCACCACGCCCGGACGCCTTTGTCTCCCCAGTGGCGATGTTTACACACCACACCGGGTACTCATTTGAGGCAGAGTCAAAGGGGGTTCACAACCAACTTGCTGTACTGCCATGAACTGGTCACCACAGTTCTGTGGGTTTGGGAGTTTCATAAACGTATATGATCCTTGCCTCAAAAGCACTACATTCACTACACCACTCTGAGTAACGCTCTACGATGCACTTAAAGCGAGTCGTGCCGTTAACGTGTTATTTTTGCGATTGCCGTTAGGGAATCTCGTCTGGCACGTGGCAGGCATGTGGCAGGTGTGATGTACCTGTCTCTAGGGAGGAGACACCTGGAGACGGAGAGCGTCTCGGCGCTGCCACTTGAGCCTCAGTCTCGTTGCCGACCGCTGGGGACACCTCCTGGCGCAGCGTGGCCTTGATTCCCTCCACGTCCTTGCGGTGCACTCGTTTGGCCTGATCCAACTGCAGTCTGCTCACGGGGACGTAGGGTGCAATGCGTTTTTGACCCTTATCAGTGCGGGTGCAGCCACATCATCTTTATGAAATGTAAAAATCTCTGTATTCCTGGCACGCCTAAAACAATTATAAGTCCACTTGAAATAAGAGTTATCACCAAAATGTACACACCATTAAATGGCATCTAGCTAATGAAAATTAATCAGAATCTTAATTTAGACTGGAGGAATCCGATGAGCTGTGAAGCTCTTTTTCACAGATGTCCAGTATGGGCGGGTTGGAAAGTTACAATTAGATACGAGCATCATGACAAATCCTCAAAACTCTCAAGTGATAGATAGATTTGTTTTACTGCAGTTACCAAACACAGATCCAAAGGCCCAAAAATGCCAAACGGCCAACGTAACGCCGCATGATTAAAATTGTAGCAGGTAACCGTTCATACTTTTTTTTTACCGAGCGAGGTTACACAAACTTGGAAAAGAGGCGATTAAAGAACATTCGAAAGTGCAGCAGTGTGATGGAGGAAGTGTTGCCCAGAGGACCTGCGGTGTGGTGGTTGAACACCGGGTGGAAGAGACGACACGCGGTCTGGTCGACGGGAGACCACAACGTGGGTGGGGGAATCGATGGGTGACGTTCACGGGCAAGACGACTTTCCGAGGGACTTACCGTAGATTTTTGAGTTCCGCACGCAAAACAGCCATTTGTTGAAGCAATTGTGCAGTCGAGTCCCTGCCCACGAAATGTTGGTCGTTCTTCCCCGCAGGAGACGTCATCTCTGGGCCCTGCTCTTGCACCTCTCCGTGCCCGGTCATAGAGTTCCGTATAACACTTGGGTGTCCCTGGGACACTCGATGCAACTTATAATAAGCCGTCTTGCCCGCAAGGCGATTTGCAGTGAGAGGTAGCAGCTTGTGGCTTTTCACCGCCTGCGAACAAATGCATTTCGTACATTAAATTGATCAATCACAAGGTAAGGACAGCATTGCTTCGGTTTGTGCATGGTTTGATTCCAACAACTGTCCAACATTGGTGGTATAAATTCCACATTCCATAGCACAACTGTTGTTGATGTACCCAAAAAGTGGCTCAGTACTCACTCCAGATATTATATTCACCGCTGATAAGTGTGCTTGGCCAGGGCACATCATGGGGCTAAGACGGGATGATGAATTGGCTGACGGCTGGTGTTGGAATCGCAGCCAAAGGAGAGGGATGCTCGTAACGAGACGAACCTCGGGCGCTGAAGCGAGATGGATCTTGGAATGGCCAGACCGTGGGGGACACATGTGGCAGCTGTGAATGCCAGCAGCAGCAGCAGCACTGTGAATGCCGTTACCTGCGCCGTAAATAACCCACACAGGTGTTTGGGGTGGGCATGTAACGCGCACCAACCAACCCACCAACTTTGGAAAAATAAAAAAGAAATTCATCTGGTCGAAATCGTTCACGTACAGAGGGGGGGGGGGGGAAGGCCGATTTGTCAAGTCACCGCGTGGCACCCGTGGCCACGTTGTTTTTGAACTCACGTTTCGTTTTTAGCTCCGTAATACATTCGCCCCTTACACTCCATATAGTACACGTTGGGGGGGGGGGGTGTTGGGAAAGGGAGTGCGAGAAAAATGACACTTTTAAAAGAATGTTCGACCGTGACAGGATTCGAACCTGCAATCTTCTGATCCGAAGTCAGACGCCTTATCCATTAGGCCACACGGCCGCTGACGACGCACGCCCCAAACGAGCTTTAATATCCACGTCGCAGCCACCGTCACCTATCCGTACCCCCCAAAAAGTACAATTATACCGATACGCCTGGAAGGGGAGGTGCTAAATAGGACAAACACACAAAACACCCACTTTTTAATCGCTTCGGCGACTACTCCGTAAGCCACCCGAGGCAACGACGCGCCGCGCCAATTTATTTGAGTTAAAATACGCTCCGGTGACGTCACCTTCAGCAGGGACGTTACATTTCGTGCTATTGATAAGCCGCCGCCGCCCCCCCCCCGCCCGCTTTCAACGCGGGACGCACGTGACCGCCGCCGCCTCCGCCAATCGGAGGCGCTCGCGCGCCCGGACGACCACGCGCTCATCGCTTAACCGCTGTACGGATTTGGAGGTCGCGGTGCCGGTGCCCCCCCCCCCACCTCGACACCGCCGAGTACTGCAATGACGTCACCGAGGGTTGATGACAATTCGCCCGCCATCTTTGCTAGGGGGGTAAGGGGGGTGGTTATTACTCCCCCCCCACCCCACGCATCTCCCTGCCGCAAATCGATGACGTTATCAGGGGGAGGGGGGAAACAACCTCCACGCGTTCCCAATGGGAGTGGCCGTGAGTCCCCCCCCCGAGTAAGATGGCGGGGTTAGACCGTGGCTGTAGTGTGGGCAATCTTCTGATCCGCCTTTATCCATTAGGCCAAACGGTCGCCGACGAAGCACGCCCCGCCGAGCCTTTACATCCACGTCGCAGCCACCTTCACCCTTCCCACCCCCCGAAAATTAAAATTCATAGCGCCTCGGGGGGGGGAGGAGGGGAGGGATGGAACACAACCTCCACGCGTTCCCAATGGGAGTGGCCGACAGTTCCCCCTGAGTAAGATGGCGGCTGTGGTGTTGGTGCTGAGTGACGTCGCCTGTGTCGGGGCGGGGCGTGGGAGATGGGGGGCGGGGCGTAGAGGGTGGGGGGCGGGGCGTATAGGGTGGGGGGCGGGGCGTATAGGGTGGGGGGCGGGGCGTATATGGTGGGGGCGGGGCGTATAGAGTGGGGGCGGGGCGTATAGGGTGGTGGGCGGGGCGTGGGTGGTGGTGGGCGGGGCGTAGCGGGTGGGGGGCGGGGCGTAGCGGGTGGGGGGCGGGGCGTAGAGGGTGGGGGCGGGGCGTAGAGGGTGGGGGGCGGGGCGTAGAGGGTGGGGGGGCGCGGCGTAGAGGGTGGGGGGCGGGGCGTAGAGGGTGGGGGGCGGGGCGTAAAGGGTGGGGGCGGGGCGTAGAGGGTGGGGGGGCGTAGAGGGTGCGGGGCGTAGCGGGTGGGGGGCGGGGCGTGGGTGGTGGTGGGCGGGGCGTAGCGGGTGGGGGCGGGGGGCGGGGCGTGGGCGTGGCAGTGTCTCCCGGGCGCCCTTCACGCGCCTTCAGTCTCCTCCATCTTCTTCTTGGTCGCCAGCCCCGCGCCGCAATGCTCACCGCTCGCCTCTCGTCCTCCGTCGCAAGGGCGCTCGCCCGCCACTCATGCCGCTCGGTACGGGGAGAGAAACACGAGGAGAGAGTGGTGGTGGTGGTGGTGTGGGGGAATGACAACAAACGAATGAATGGAGTGAGGTGAAATGGCGTGTTGAAGCTTCGTGGTTGTGACGGAGCGGACCGGGTACCGCTGTTTGGAGGTCGCGTCGAGCCGGGCAAGGGGGAAGACGCGATGGCGATGTTGGTGGCGGTGGTGGCGTTTGGCCGTGATAATTGTTCTTGTAATGTCAAGGTTTGGTTAGGATTAATCTCGTGACGCCGTTTCTTTTAATTCGCAGTGAAAATAATTACATTTTGGAGGTCAGGTGCCTGACATGGGGAAAAATAGGGCGAAGGGATTACAATATAATATCAACATCTTATGCTTCGTGTTGATGTTGATATTCTCTTGTAATCTCAGATGGTCGGTTCGTGATTAATGATATTTATAAGACTGCAAGACCACGGCTGCATTTAAAGATTAGACAATTCGGAGGTCACGCGTCTGGCAGAGGGAAGGGAGCGACGGCGAGGTTTTGGTGACACCACTGATATTGGTCGTGACCATCTCGTGATCTCATTGGGTTTGATTGGTGGTCTTTGCAAAGTCTGAAGGACGTTAACAAAACAGTGGTCCTTGCATGTCGGATGTCGACCTTGCAACAACTACGGGATCTGACAGAAGGAAGGAAGCGATGGCGAGGTGTGATGATGGTCCCTTGACCTTCATTGAGCCAGCCCAAGGCCCCATAATAGGTTCGTGGTGGCCACGGATTTGGCCTCGTGGTATTTTAGCTCCTTATCTCCATTGTCTTGATCAAGGGATTCGCCGGGCTTTGGATTAGAATGACACGTATGGTTGTATCTGGAAAGCTGCCTTGCCACGGTTCACTTGTGTGTGTGTGTGGTGTGCTGCTTCGTAATGTGATGAGTGTTTCATTATGTAAAATTAGTTTTTTGTTGTTGTGTGAAATGAATGGCAAGAGGCACGGTGTTGCTCTTGGGAAGGTCAGAAGGGGCAAATGCCCTTCGCTCTCCTCTCTGACTTCATAGAGGACTTTGGCTCACGCCTGGCGATTATATGTACACGGCATGTACATACTGTATGCATATGTTTCATACAGTGTGACCTTTTTGAAAAGCCTGCGAAATTGTGTCATTGCGTCGTGGATGTGTATTTTTTAAGATGGTAGCAATGTCGGACCGCGTGAGACGGAAATTGCATTATTATTGTCGTGATACGGTTTTCATTCACAATTTATATTTTGGCTGGAGATAGTGCTTGTTGGTATGTCGGTGCTAAGGTCATTGGTTAGTGGACAGTTGTGTCAAGCACCTGACGTGGAATTTTCACTTGTTTGACAGATTTAGATTGTTATTTATGCAAAAATTGTGGCTTTCCGTGAACATTACCACAATTTTTGCTATCACCATTAACATCACGATTGTGATACTGTTATAACGATCATCATGACCGATACCATCAACGTAATTGCCATAACCATTGCCAACATTATGTAATCACTGCATAACCATTAAATAAACACTGCCGAGTAAAACCTTTATGAACTTGATGTGGGAAATCAACGGTGGTTGCTCTATAGGATAACTGGTACCTACCATAGTCATGTGGAGTTGTCACCACAAAAAGGATGGACAACTAAGGTTAGTGTCACCCATCGCTCAAAAACGGGAACCATTTGCCTTGTGACCTGCCTTATACTGTACTGGTATAGCTAACTATTTTACTGCTCGTGGCTGTGATTCAGGTGGCAAGGGGTGCGCTGGGAGCTGGGTTTGTGGCCAGCAGAGATGTCCACTCTTCCGCTGCTGCTTTCCAGAAGATCGGTAAGGGCAGTGCTGGTTTCACCTTCGTGCCTGTGACCATGTCAAAAAAAAGGGGCATTGGGACTAATGACCTTGGCCTATTTTCTGGAGTACAGTATTCGAGCTTCTCATTTGTGTGGCTTTCCATCAGGAAGCTTGTGCACTATTGCCTTTAAACCACAGAACTCGAGTCTGTACTTGAGTTACCTCTTTATACTAGAGCACATAATATTCGAATTCTCCCAGACAAGTTTAATTCACAGGCTGGACTGAATTACTAAACCAGAATTCAGGTTTAGTGAAAAATACATCACCAAACATTGCAATTAAATGTAGGTGTCAGGGGCATTTAATTTACAACGTTGATAGGACAAAGTCACTGGTGGAAATTACACATTCCCATGGCAGTGACAAGTCTGCCAAATGTGTTTACCACTTAAATTGCTGTCAGAGTGGTAGTTATTGTATCAACCCAAACCTATGATAGACTGATTTGGCTGCCCAAGTAGGCTTTGAACTCAAAGCCTTCCAATATTGATTTAAGCATGCTTACTTACCATCGCACAAATCGGCTAGATAATTCTCAATTAATCAACGACAGCCTTTTTCATTTAAATATAGTCGTTTCTCAAGAAGCTTTGGAAAAAGAAAATCACGAGAGTTAACAAGGAGGAGTGTTAGTAGAGGCAGTAGGAACGTAGGAGAGAGCAACACTGGGACCTCGCATCAACAGCAATGAGCCCCGGACACAGCGGGGCAGTGGTGTTTGTAACGTTATTGGAAATGTTGTTTTGCCCAGGCACGGCTGAGGTGTCGTCAATCCTGGAGGATAAGATCCTGGGAACGGACATGTCAGCTGAGCTGGAGGAGACAGGCCGTGTGCTGTCTATCGGAGATGGTATCGCTCGTGTATACGGCCTCAGTAACATCCAGGCGGAGGAGATGGTGGAGTTCTCTTCCGGCCTGAAGGTATGGCGATGCGACATGCGCAGAGTCGTGGCTTCAGCTCTCAGAAACAGACCTCGACCGGTACTTTGGCAACCACCCCGGGGCATAGTGATTCAATGCTTTAGAGTGGTGTTTCTCAATTTTTTTTGGCGTGCGGACCACTTAGCCAATGCAAACATTTCCGCAGACCACACAGCTGCCCACTCCTGGTGACCCAAGGCATTCGCCTATCTCTCTAAATACCAGTAGTACAAAATGATTAATATAACTAGAACAAAAAAAAGTATTTGTTTCAATGCAGCTAGACGTTTTTTTCTAGAGGTGTCATTTAGATCGTAGGGCTAGGGTGATTTAATTAGGGTAGTTTATCTAACTTCATTTTTAAATTAAATATCGTAAGTCAAATATTAATTCATGTCCAAAACAAAACGTATCAACATTGTCGTTTTTTTATTTAAAGCTTTTGTGACTGCAGGGATTCATATTCTTGGTTCTTTCGGTAAAGTCACGTAGAAGGGAAATAATAAAATACTAATAAAATATATAACAATAAAAAATTATCACAACATTTCGACTGCAACACAAGCAATCATCATCAGGTGTGAAATCCACAGCAAGAAAAATATTTATTATTTCCCTTCTACGTGACTTTACCGAAAGAACCAAGAATAACATTCTCATTATTTCCGGATCAACCTGCGTTTGCATCACAGCACACGGGGCCGCCCGGAGGACTATCGTGGCCCACTGGTGGTCTGTGGACCACACTTTGAGAACCACTGCTTTAGAGGCAAGGGTCTGTGAATCGCATAGAGTTGTAAAATTTCTCAATTCAGCTGAGTTGCGAGCTAGCAAGGAGATGACAGCACAGCAAGTGGGTTAGTAAATGCATCGCTGCACACCTTTTCTCTTATATGCGTGGCAGATTTTTTTTTTCTGAGCATT